TTTTTTGGCAAGCCAAGTTTTCCTTTCAAACGAGCAATTTCGTGACCAAAGCATTCCCTTTGCACATTCTTTATCCATGATTTTTCAGCGGCATCAATTTCCAAAGCGGTGATAGGTCCCTTCATCGAATCAATTTGTTTTTTGGATTTTTTCAGCCAACGAATAGCATAGCATGTGAATCGCAACAAACGAGTGTAGTCGGAAAACCAATTCAAAACTTCATTCGTTTTCAACGGTGCTGTGTGAAGTGTTTTGATCGTTTTGCGTTTTTCTGGGGCATGGTCGATCGGCAAATTGTGATTTTGTTTTGGATTCGATTCATTTGGTGAGGTTAAAAATGAAGGACCGTGCCACCAAAGCGATGATTTTTCGAGCTCATTTACCGAAAGTCCACGTGATGCGATATCGGCAGGATTCTGTTTTGACGGAACGTGCATCCAACGACTTGAATCGACATTTTGCTGTATTTCACTTACTCGATTGGCAACAAAGGTAACCCATTTGCTTGGATGTGTTGAGAGCCAAGCGAGCACAATTTTTGAGTCACTCCATGCGAAGACTTTGAAATCGACCAGTGATAATGCTTGAATGCATCGAACGACAAGTTTTGAGGCTAATAGGGCACCGCACAACTCTAAACGTGGTATAGTTGACACCCTAATTGGAGCTACTTTCGTTTTTGCGGCAATTAAATTGCATGATACGTTGTTGTCATTGTGAATTATTCGCAAATAAACACAACACGAATACGCGAGATTTGCAGCGTCACCAAATGCATGAATTTCGATTCCTCGTTGTGAATCGGATAATCGAAGCCAACGAGGTATTTTTATTGGCACTGGAGCAGTGATTTCATTGAAAATCGATGACCATTGTGAAGCAAGTTGAGTGGGCAGTTCTGAATCCCAAGAAATTTCGTTAGACAGTCTCCAAATGTCCTGCATCAAAATCTTTGCTTTAATGATACAGGGAGCCAACCATCCCAATGGATCAAACAACTTAGCGATGGATGATAATACTTTGCGCTTTGTCCATGCTCCAACTGCTTCGTGTTCGAGCGATTTGAAAATGAATTCATCTGAATGAGCTTGCCATGCAATGCCGAGAGTTTTGAATGTTGACTCGAAACTGATGCATTCTTCACGATCTGTGTCGTCAACGTTTTCCAGAATTCGTTGCTCGTTTGTTTTCCATTTTCGAAGCTTGAATCCATATTCATTCAATGTATCGTCGAGCTCTTTCCTGAATTTGAATGCAGTATCAGTTGACGAAAACGACTTCAAAAAATCATCAACGTAAAAATTCTTTTGGATGGCCGATGCGAGTGATGGATTGGAGGATTTTATTCGTTCACCCACTTCATGGACACTTCGAATAGCCTGGAAGGCAGCGCTGCTTGTGCCAAAAGATACAGTCAATAACCGATATTCTTCAATTCCGTCGGTCCCTGGTCTATGCCATAGAATTGACTGAAGATTGGCGTGTTTTGGATTTACATAAACCATTCGATACATTTTTTCTATGTCAGCTGAAAATGCAAACTCGAATTTTCGCCAGTCGATCAATATGTCAAACAGTTCAGGTTGAATCACTGGCCCGACGCACAAACAATCGTTTAATGAAATGCCAGTACTTGTTTTTGCTGAACCATCAAATACACTTCTTACTTTGGTGGTGGTACTCGATTCCTTTAAGACGCCATGGTGAGGCAAAAAATATTGGAACGATGGAGAATCGTTAACCTTTTGCATGTGGCCCAACGATAAATATTCTTCCAAGACGGCATCATATTTTATTTTAAAATCAGGATTTTTTGCGAATCGTCGTTGCAAGGATTTGTATCGACGTTCAGCAATCGATCGTGATTCACCAAGTTGCTCCCATGGATTTATTTTGAATGGTAAATCAACAACAAATTTACCGTCGGTAGCTCGACGAACGGTATTTTTAAATACATCCTCCGCCATTTGCTCTTCTTGTGTGGGAATACGTTTGTGAGAGACCTCTTCCAGTTCCCAAAATGCTTTCAACTGAGCGTGCAAATCAAAGTCCTGATTGTCGAGTGTGTTTACTTTAATGTGATGACACATGGCAGTTGTTCTTTCTGAAATATTCATGCGACCGTAGACTATCCATCCAAGCTCGGTGTGTTGTGCAATGGGATGCTCACGTTTACCTTTAACTACGCCGGACAAAACGACGTCACCGTGTGTAGCTGAACCCAGTAGCAAGTCGATTTTAGCTGGCTGAAAGTAAGTTGGATCGGCCAATGGCAAATTTTGCAAGTGCGTCCAATCTTTGACAATCTTTCTATTGAATCCCACTATTTCGCCGATACATCGAACAACAACTGCACGGATGATGAGTTTATAGTCTTTGTTTTGTGCAGATCCAATTTCAATGGTCACTCGTCCGAGTGCTTCTCCAACCGGTACGTTGCCGACTCCAGTCATTGTCATTTTTTAACGCGGAAACTTAATGCTTAATAACCGACACGCATTCAAAGAAATCAGATTGGCGGTTGCTCCTTGATCAAGAAGTGTTTTGAATAGGGCCGATCGATTATTGAAACTAGTCGGTACTAAGGCGGTGGCCAACATTTCATCATCGTTTTGATCATTTACATG